CAAGTTATTTTAACACCAAGTACTCTATTTAGACATTTTTTGAGAAGGAAAGCTGTCTAGCTAGCTAAGTTAACCAGCTAGCTACCAACATAAACAAAGTCAAGAAGACAAAGAACGCTGTCAGTCTTTGTGCGTGCACGGCATAATTCATTTTGCACTGTCGCCCCCTGCTGGAGCGGAAGGCGCAGGTCGTGACGATCCGGCAGGTCAAATCAAATCAACAACAAGAAAAAGTCACATACACGTGTTTAGTAGATGTTATTGCGGGTATAGCGAAATGCTTGTTGGCGCCAGCTGTGCTGCTTTTGAGAAGAGGGCTGATTCATGGGCAAAATTAATTAATCTCTAATAATTTTTCCTACTAATCATTGATCAGATTGAATAAGTATTTCCCAATCTATTCTTGGAGGTCCTCCAGTGTGTGTACATTTTTATTCTAGCCCAGCACATAGACCTACATGTAGTAGACTGCAGAGCTGGTGGCGCTGCTACAGCACTGCTGGGGCAAATCTGAAGTTTAGGTCAATCGTTGCCTTCCTAGAGCACTAAAGTACACAACATATATAACACACCCTACTGCTGTCACCAATCCAACATTCTCATGTCTGCAATTAATTCAAGGAAGAGGAGAGGGGGGATGTACCGTGCCTTCAGAAAGTATTCATACCCCTTGACTTATTCCACATTTTGTTGTTAACCTGTATTCAAAATGTATACAAAAATAAAATAAAAAATCTCACCCATCTACACACAATACCTCATAATGACAAAGTGAAAATTTTGCAAATGTTTTGAAAATGAAATACATAAATATTTAAATACGTATTCACACCACTGAGTCAATACATTGTAGAAGCACCTTTGGCAGCGATTACAGCTTTGAGTTGTCTTGGGTATGTCTGTATCAGCTTTGCACATCTGGATTTGGGGATTTTCTCCCATTCTTCCTTGCAGATTTTCTCAAGCTCTGTTAAGATAGATGTGGAGCGGCGGTGAACAGCAATCTTCAAGTCTTTCCACTGATTTTCAATAGGATTCAAGTTTGGGCTTTGGCTGGGCGACTCAAGAACTTTCACATTATTGTTCTTTTGCCATTCCAATGTTGCTTTGGCTGTATGTTTGGGGTCACTGTCCTGTTGGAATGTAAATCTTCACCCCAGTCCAAGGTTGTTTGCACTCTGAAGGTTCTCGTTAAGTATTTGCCTGTATTTGGCTCCGTTCATTGTTCCCTCTATCCTTACCAGTCTCCCAGTCCCTGCTGCTGAAAAGCATCCCCATAGCATGATGCTGCCTCCACCATGCTTCACAGTAGGGATGGTGTTAGACGGGTGATGAGCTATGTCTGGTTTTCTCCATACATAGTGCTTTGCATTCAGGCCAAAGTGTTCAATTTGTCTCATCAGACCACAGAAAGTTTTGCCTTATGATCTCAGTCTTTCACATGCCTTTTTGCAAACTCCAGGCATGCAGTCATGTGCCTTTTTCTCAGGAGTGGCTTCTGTCTGGCCACTCTCCCATAAAGCCCAGATTGGTGAAGTGCTGTAGAGACTGTTGTCCTTCTGGCAGGTTCTCCCATCACAGCCAAGGAACTCTGAGTGGTCATTGGGTTCTTGGTCACCTCCCTGACCAAGGTCCTTCTTGCCCGGTTGGTCAGTTAGGTCGGACGGCCAGCTCTAGGCAGTCTGGGTACTTCCCAATGATGGAGATCACTGTGCTCTCGGAAACATTCAACACTCTAGACATTGTTTTATACCCTTCCCCAGCTATATGCCTCATCACAATTCTATCTTGTGAGATCTGCAGACAGTTCCTTGGACTTCATGGTATAGTTTCTGCTCTGACATGCACTTTCTTCTTCTTCTTCTTCTTCTTCTTCTTCTTCTTCTTCTTCTTCTTCTTCTTATTTAAGTGTTTATTGGCAAATGGCAACCAACTGGCAGGTGCATACACCACCACCCTACTGTACTGGAGTGTGAGGCCAGTCACAACTTATCTACACCACTATATTCTCTTAACTAATCCTGAATTTCTAATAAAATAAAATAATTCCCTACAAACCTCACTACTCCCATCATCCCCACCCAAAATACCACCCACTCCCCATTCCCATCCAACCTCTCTGACCCTGTCAAACAACCTCTCTCTTTCTACATCATACATTTCACAAAATTTTAACGTTCTGTTTCCTCTACCATTCAGCCATTACACATTCCAGTACGATGTTTCCCTAACAATTTCCAAGAGGGATTAAATCCTGTATGCCCTAATCTCATCCTACACAACATAACTTCCTCCCTTCTGTTCCCATTATATGACACTATCTCCAGTACAGATTTCCTTGTACTATAAAAATGTCTGCGCTTACTACTTTCATCCCATTGTCTCTGCCAGCAATCTAACCCATTTTTCCGAATCAATGTTTTAATTTCCCCTCTACCCAACTGCACCTGTATATCCACAATATTATTTTCCACTGCTTTTTGGCTATTATATCTACTATATAATTTCCATTAACTCCTGTATGAGCCGGAATCCAACAGAACTGAATTTCAATACCATATCTTTGTAAGCCCAACAACAGCATCATTATTTCTAACCATAAATCCTCATGTTCTGACTTTCCAGATCTTCAAACTACACAAAACTGATGCAGTCCCAACATATTACTACTCTTCTTGGTTGTACCTCCTCTATCCATTGCAATCCAACAATTATCGCAACCATTTCTGTTGAATCTACAGATTAATCATTTGTTAGTCTCTTGCATAGATTAACATCGAACTCACAAATAAACGCACCTGCTCCTGTCTTCCCATTCATGGGATCCTTTGAACCATCTGTCTACACTGCAAGACAATAATAAAATGGATTACTAATATATTGATCCACTATTGTTCCTACATGATCTACTTCACACCACTGTTTCTTTTCTTCGATGAGGCTAAAATCAACATGTGATCTTGTATAAAACCACAGTGGCACATTTCCTATTGCCACAGATGGCCCTATAACAAGGTCCCTGAGTCCATCTTCATCAACCCTTTTCCCAATCTCTGGGTCATAACCCCTCTTTTGATCTTTCACATTCCCAGCAGTCTTCCAATACTGTCAGTGTAGGATGATCTACCGTACTACCCTACAGTCTTGCCCAGTATGCCAGAGCTAGCTTAACTTGTTTAAGGGATAGTAGCATTTCCCCAGTATCTTCTTGTAAAGCCTCAACCGGTGTAGTTTTAAATGCACCATCGCACATCCTGAGTGCCCTCGCTTGCATCCTATCAAGGCGCAACAGCAATGTAAAAGCTGCAGCACCATATACAAAGCACCCATAATATATGGACGATCTCATCATAGTACGATAAATATTCAGTAAAGATTGTCTATCTGTTTTCACTTCGTCATTATGGGGTATTGTGTGTAGATGGGTAAGAATGTGTTTTAATACATTTTGAATTCAGGCTGTAATACAAAATGTGGAATAAGTCAATGGGTATGAATACTTTCTGAAGGCACTGTATAGAAAGAAAGAATGACAGTAGATATAGGGAATGAGATGTTTTAATGTACTTCTTGTATTGTCTGAAAGTCTCTCCCAACACAGGGTATGACTGCCATGTTGTCATCAGGTTTTTCATCAGGTCATTATGTTTTCTCCCTCTTGTGAATGTTCTTCTCATACCTTCCAGGGGAGTTCATTCACTTGAAGCGTTTAGGTGCAATCAAATCCAAACTATTTTCATTTGTGACACGCTTCATAAGCAACAGGTGTAGACTAACAGTGAAATGCTTCCCAACAATGCAGAGAAAATGAAACATAATTGAATTATGTCTTACCCAGAGCAACTTACAGTCAGTGCATTCAAAACAGGTAAAACAACCACATATCAACAGTCACTGCGAGTAAAAACTTTCCTCAATAAAGCTGCTTAGTGAAACATGTATCACAAACAAGGTCTACTGTCAGTGTTTTCTACACTAAAGTATTTTGTGTATTGTCATTATGCCTTGCCAAACTTCCAGTCTATGCAAAGCCTCTGTCAGTCATGGCAGTGACGCCTTTCTCTACCATGTGAAATCTCATGCCAGGTTGACTGGGTGATAGTGCTGAAATACATGTCACAAAGATGGCAATGATATGGTTTTTCCCATGTGGATCTTCATGTGCAGTTTCAGGTTATAATTCTGCTTGAATCCTTGGCCACAATACTGGCACTTATATGGTTTCACCCCTGTATGAGTCCTCATGTGCACTGTCAGATCAGGGCTTCTGCTGAAACATTTGTCACAAACAGGGCAGCGATGTGGTTTCTCTCCAGAGTGGCTCTTCATATGCACAGCCAGGTTTCCACTCTGACTGAATCCTTTGCCACAATCATGACAGCGAAACGGCTTCTCCCCAGTGTGACTCCTCAAATGCCTTTTCAGAAAAGCATCCCAAGCAAAATATTTACCACAAACATGACAACACTTTGACAGTGAGCTGCTGGAGGTCTGTAGAGGAGAGAGGGATGAAATAGAAAACTCAAGAGCTGACTTGACGTACCCAGCTAACAAACGTTCCCACAACTTTAGAGAATATTTCCTTAAGCGTCTCATTAGGTCATTAACTAACGTTTTCATAGGAATGTTCCAGGGATGTGCAAGGAATGTTTCTAACAGACCATTCCCTTAATGTCAAATAGAACATACCCAGAACATGGTTACCATGTTCTCAGAACTTAAGATATTAATGTTCTAGACGTGTTTTATGGGAATGTTGCAAGAACATTAATGTCTCCAGTTTTCTGTTGCATAGGAGAATATTCCATCAATGTCCCACCAAACACACACAGAACATGGTTGCCATGTTCTCAGAACATAAGATATTAATGTTCTAGACATGTTTCATGGGAGCGTTGCAAAAACATGTGTGACCACAACAATTTTTTTTTTTTTTACACATCACGCCTTGTTACTGTTGCCAAGCCAATTAAGGCCCTGATTGGTGAACCACTGATCCATTCACAGCTCTTTGTCTGTTGGCAAGGTTAGGGATACTCACACACACAGTGCTTTTAACATACTGTGTTTTCAACTTCCATATTTGACATACATGATTACATTGTGCATGTTCAATTAATCAGTAATTATTATTCAACATGTCCTTACCTGGGATTTGAACTCTCAACCCCTTGGTTCACGGTACTTCAATCTTCCTGCTACGCCACCATGTCTGTGTAAGGTAGGCTATCAGTTCATCTTATTGACTTATTCCAGCAATTTAAGGTCTTTCTGTATAGTTGTCTAATATTGGTGGGGCATATTAACCTGTTTTATTGGTACTTCTGAATCACTATGAACAATAAAATATTTTCTTGGGTGTACTTTTAACAGAGATTTACTTCAAACACAGGTGTGTTGTAACTGTTGCCAAATAATGACTAACCTATATTGCTAAGAATGTGAGAGTAGGTTGACTCCTCTAGTGGGTCTCAAACCAAGGCCACTAGCACCAATGAAGAACACCCTAACCACTGTCCCAATAAGGGTTATCTCTAGGGCTGGACTCTCCAACCCTGTTCCTGGAGAGCTACCTTCCTGTAGGTTTTCATTCCAACCCGAGTTGTAACTAACCTGATTCAGTTTATCCACCAGCTAATTATTAGAATCAGGTGTGCTAGATTAGGGTTGGAATGAAAACCTACAGGATGGTAGCTCTCCAGGAACAGGGTTGGAGAGCCCTGCTCTAGGGCATGTGCTCATTGGGCCAGTATAGTTAGGCCCTGTCAAGAAGAAACCCTAACCCGCCTTCCTAGGCACTTGTGTAGACCTGAAACAACTTGATGTGTAAGCAATAGGGTGAATGAAATTTGAAGTAACTCTCAGTTTTATTAAAAATACACTCAGTATGAAAATGTATGCACTCACTAACTGTAAGTCACTCTGGATAAGAGCGTCTGCTAAATTACTAAAATGTAAAAAATGTAAGAAAAAAACGTATTGATCCTAGTGATTGAGGAGTATCATTAAAACAGGTTAATATGCCCCACCAACATTAGACAATATAGAAAGCCCTTAAATTGTTGAAATAAGTACATCAAATCAATGATGAGAGAATAGTCAAATTAACTCACACAGACATGGTGGAGTAGCAGGAAGATCTGAATGACGTGAACCAATATGTTGCGAGTTCAAATCCCAGGTGAGGACATTTTGCATAATAATTACTGTATAAATCAACATGCACAATGTAATCATGTATGTCAAATATGGAAGTTGGAAATACAGTATGTTAAACGCACTGTGTGTGTGTGTGAGTATCCCTAACCTTGCCAACAGACAAAAAGAGCTGTGAATGGATTACCAATCAGGGCCTTGATGGGCTTGGCAACAGTAACAAGGTGTGATGTGTAATGATTTTTTTGGTGAGAACGTTTCTTTCGGACAAATCAGGCGACATACTGACAACTGATACACAGAAATGTTCTTGCAATGTTCCCATGAAACGTGTCTAGAACATGAATATCTTACATTCTGAGAACATGGCAACCATGTCCTGTGTATATTTTGTGGGACGTTGCTGGAATATTCTCCAAACCCTCAGAAAACCGAACACATGAATGTTCTTACAACGTCCCATGAAACGTGTCTAGAATTTTAATATTGTATATTCGGATAACATGGCAACCATGTTTTGTGTATGTTTGGTGGAACATTGATGGAATATTTTCCTAACCCTCAGAAAACTGGACACATGAATGTTCAACGTCCCATAAAGCGCGTCTAGAACGTTAATGTTGTATATTCTGAGAACATTGTAACCACGTTCTTGATAAGATCTGTATGACATTAAGGGAATATTCTCATAACTTTAACACCAAAACATGCTAAACGGGTTATCAGAAGGTTTTTGCTAACATAGATATAATGTTTCCATAACTAACGGAAAACTGGACACTCAAACATTAGGGAACGATTACGGGTAACATAAAAAAATAAGTTATCTCCCTAGAATTGTTAGCTGGATAGTTAGATGGGTTTAAGATTGAGTAATCTTCTTACAGACATTGGAACTATCTACACTTTCAACAAATTGTATTACATTGATAGCTTATCGTGTCTCATATTAAATGAATGTTGAAAATACTAACACACCTTCTCGTCTATGTAACTTGATCTCTGGCTTAGTACGGATTTCCAGCATTATTCGTAGACGGCTGTTCTCCTCCTTTGTGCGAGAAACCTCTTCCTGGTACTCTGCTATCGTTTCTTCAACGACACCAAATATCTCCTCAGCTGCCGCTATCAATCTCTGGTTTAGAAACATTCTCAATAACTCTATTTTAGACATTTTTAGAGAAGGACATTTTGCTAGATAGCTACCAACGTAAACAAAGTCGAAAATATCAAGAGCACTGAGGCGAAGCAAGATGTTTTACTCTCGCCTAAATCTGTCCTAAACAAGCTCAATGCGTTTCTATGTGCTTATTTTTGACCTAAGTTTATTTTTGACCCAATTGTTAGGGCGGAGACATGAGCATCTCGTCATTATATAGTCTTTGTGCGTGCACGGCATGATACATTTTGCACTGTCGCCCCCTGCTGGAGCGGAGGACGCAGGTCCTGGCGCTCCTGCAGTTTGCAACAGTCTGTTCTGCTTTTGAGAAGAGGACACCGATTACTGGGCAAAATGAATTAATCTCTCGTAATTTTTCCTACTAATCATTGATCAGATTGAATAGGTATTTCCCAATCTATTCTTGGAGGTCCTCCATTGTGTGTACATTTTTATTCTAGCCCAGCACATAGACCTACATGTAGTAGACTGCAGAGCTGGTGGCGCTGCTACAGCATTACTGGTGCAAATCTGAAGTTTAGATCAATCGTTGCCTCCCTAGATCACTAAAGTATGCAAAAAATATAATACACCCTACTGCTATCACCAATCCAACATTCTCATGTCTGCAATTAATTAAAGGAAGAGGACAGGAGTGATGTATTTCATAGGAATAAAACATTCAAGGAATTACATGTTAACTCTCCCAACACAGGGGACGACGACTGCCATGTTGTCAGGAGGTTTTTCATCAGGTTGTCATTATGTTTTCTCCCTCTTGTGAATGCTCTCGTACCTTCTAGGGGAATTCATCCATTTGAAGCATTTAGCAGCAATCATTGCCTTATGTATGTTTTTTTAATAACACAATTATATAGTTTTTCTCCTGTGTCAATTGGACTGTTGAAGTACTGTTCTTGCATTTACATTTTGGTCATTTAGTTGACACTCTTACCCAGAGCGACTTACAGTCAGTGCATTCAAAACAGGTAAAACAACCACATATCAACAGTCACTGCGAGTAAAAACTTTCCTCAATAAAGCTGCTTAGTGAAACATGTATCACAAACAAGGTCTACTGTCAGTGTTTTCTACACTAAAGTATTTTGTGTATCGTCATTATGCCTTGCCAAACTTCCAGTCTATGCAAAGCCTCTGTCAGTCATGGCAGTGATGCCTTTCTCTACCATGTGAAATCTCATGCCAGGTTGACTGGGTGCTAGTGATGAAATACATGTCACAAAGATGGCAATGATATGTTTTTTTCCATGTGGATCTTCATGTGCAGTTTCAGGTTATAATTCTGCTTGAATCCTTGGCCACAATACTGGCACTTATATGGTTTCACCCCTGTATGAGTCCTCATGTGCACTGTCAGATCAGGGTTTCTTATGAAACATTTGCCACAAACAGGGCAGTGATGTGGTTTCTCTCCAGAGTGGCTCTTCATATGCACAGCCAGGTTTCCACTCTGACTGAATCCTTTGCCACAATCCTGGCATTGATGTGGTTTCTCCCCTGTGTGGCTCCTCATATGTAAGTTTAGGTGTCCGCGCTGAGTAAATCCTTTGCCACAATCATGACAGCGAAATGGCTTCTCCCCTGTATGACTCCTCAAATGCCTTTTCAGGAAAGTATCCCAAGCAAAATATTTACCACAAACATGACAACACTTTGCTCCGATGTGAGTTTGTAGGTGATCTATCATTCTTTCTGTGGACTGACAGAATTTTCCACACACACCACAAAGATGTTCTTTATTCTGTGTGTGCGTTTGCACATGATTTAATAAAGAAACCATGGAGTCAAATTGCTTTCCACATACCTTACAACTAGGAGCAGCATCCCAGCTTACACTGGGTCTTGAGTGTGATTTTAGATGGTTCAATTTCCTGTCCTTAACACTGATGTGAGAACTTTGTCCTTCTACCGTCTTTGTTCTCTTTGATTTGAGTGGCTTTAACGTTAGACCTGACAGAGGTCCTCCAGTCTCCATCCAGTCAATATGTCCTCTGTTTTCACTCTGAGCTGCAGAACACTCTGTATCTACTGCAGAGAAGGGCTGAGACTCTCTGGTTGGTTCTGATACGCCATAGTCTTCTACATAAGGTTCTGTTTTGATCTGTTCAGTTGAGGTGCTGGGTAGAGAGTATCTCTCTCCATGTGAGGACTGATTGGGTCTTTGTGCACACACAGAGTCGGAGGAGCAAGCGGACGGGGGGGGAGGGGGGGGGGGGAGAGGGGGGGGGGGCGGGGGGGGGGCCGCGGAGGGGGGGGGCAGGGCGGGGGGGGGCGGGGGGCGAGGCACAACACGGAACGAGCACCACCACACAAGACAGTGGTCTTAAAACACACACACACAACACATTGAGAGCATCCTGTCTGGCTGTTCATCACCGCCTGGTTCGGCAACTGCAGAGGTGGTGCGGTTTTGCCCACCCATCACCGGGGGAACTACCAGCCCTCCAGGAACCTACAGCACCCCGGATTTTCACAAGGACGAAGTCCAAAAGATCAAGGGACAGACAACCACCTGAGCCCTTCCTGATCACCCTCCGCTATCATCCAGAAGGCGAGGTCAGTACAACAGGTTGCAATCACAGCTGGGACCGAGAGACTGAAAAAAAAAAAAAAAAACCAAAACCTGTTGTTCTATCTCAAGGCCATCAACTGTTAACTGCCGAATCACTCACAGAGAAGAGGGAACTTTAGAGGCTGCTGCGCCTATTGAAATCACTGGCCACGTTTTCCACTTTAATAATGTTTTTACATAATCTTGCCTTACTCATCTCATATGTATATAACTGTATGCTATACTATTCTACGGTATCTTAGTCACTTTAATAATGTTTACATATCTTGCACCTACTCATTCTCATATGTATATACTCGTATTCTATTCTATAATTTCTACTGTTATCTTGTATAAAGTCCATAGCCGCTCTGTTCCCATTGCTTGGTCTCATATATTTGTATTTTTCTCTCTTAAATCCCATCCTTACCTTTTTGTGTGTATTGGGTGTATGTTGTGAAATTGGTTAGATATTAACGTGTTAGATATTACTGCACGGTCGGACTAGAAGCCACAAGCATTTCGCTACACCCGACCCGCTACTCTGCTAAACACGTTAATGTTGACCAATCAATTTTATTGATTTGATTTCATACTCCTATCCTTCCTTCCTATACGCTCTGAGATTAAATAGCAGTTATTTTCACGCTCCTAAAAGCACAGCAATAAACCTGTAGCCTACCCAATGCTGTCAAGTCATTTTACACTAAGCTACCGGTCTATTTACTGTGATGGCAGGGATGTTTTTAATCGTTAGCAGTAATTTATATGCTGTATCTGTAAAAGGATCGTAATTCTGACAGAGAAAGTTATGCTACTTGTTTTTTGGACTCGTCCACCCACAAATTTTGATTCAACAACGTTTTATAACCAACCGAGCTCATCCCCCAACCTAAATATGGAATTGGACTGCCCATGAATTCTAACAACATCGCAGCAAAACGTAGTAGTGTATAAAGCATGCCTTTTTTTTTCCTACCAGGCTCTTTCAGCTTCTTCACTCGGGGAATCAGCCGTCTCTTGAACCTAGACTACATGATCTCCTAATAAATTACTGAGGAAGAATAAATTAGCTGCCTGTCTGTCCGTCTGCCTGCCGGTTGTCTGTCTGTCTGTCTGTCTGTCTGTCTGTCTGTCCTGACTGTCTGCCTACCTGCCAGCAATGTCTGTCCGTCTGCCCTGCCTCCCTGCCGGTCTGGTCTGTCTGTCTGCCTGTCTGTCTGTCTGTCTGTCTGTCTGTCTGTCTGTATGTCTTCTATCCGTCTACCGCCAGCCTGTCTGTCTGTTCCGCTGCCTTTCTGTCTGCCTGCCTGCCTGCCTGTCTGTCTGGTCTGTCTGTCTGTCTGTCTGTCTGTCTGTCTGTCCTGTCTGTCTGTCTGTCTGTCTGTCTGTCTGTCTGTCTGTTCTGTCTGTCTGTCTGTCTGTCTGTCTGTCGTCTGTCTGTCTGTCTGTCTTTCTGTTTGTCTCTGTCTGTCGTCCTCCGTCTGTCTGCTGTCTGTCTGTCTGTCTGATTCTGTTCTGCTACCTGCCAACAAGCATGTCTTCCGTTCTGCCTGCCTACCTGGCCGGTCTTTCTGTCTGTCTGTCTGTCTGTTGTCTGGTCTGTCTGTCTGTTCTGTAATGTCTTTCTATCCGTCTACCTGCCACCTTTCTGTCGGTCCGTCTGCCTGTCTGTCTGCCTGCCTGCCCAGAAATGTCGTCCGTAGCTGGCCTGCCTACCTGCCGGTCTGTCTTTCTGCTGTCTGGTCTGTCTGTCTGTCTGTCTGTCTGCCTGTCTGCCTGTCCGCTGTTTAGCCTTCGATAAGAGAACCTTCAACACTTGAGAACGTTTGCCATCACAGCCTGTCTGTGTGTGGGTGTGTGGGTTGTGGTTAGGCCTGAGAAGTAGAAAAGCAGTGATGTGTGTGGGAGTTAAACCCCAAGAAGGTGCTTATATCGCGGGTATGTTATATGTGGTGTTTGCGTGTGTTAACCCTGTGTGGTTTGTGTGTATTCGGGTGTGGATCGTGCATACGTGTGGTGCGTGAGTGCAAATGTGGTGTTGTGTGTGTGTGTATACAGTGTGTGTGTGTGTATACAGTGTGTGGTGTGTGTCTGTGTGTGTGTATATACAGTGTGTGTGTGTGTTTCCTGTTTAAACCCCCTGTGAGAATAGAAGGCAGCGATGCCCAGGGGCCAGAAGCAGCCAACATGGAGAAGAAATGGCCAGGCCTCAGGTGGTCTCTGGGAGGGATCACTATGAAGTTTCCTCACTCTCAACTGTCGCTGGATCGTCCTCTGAAAAAGAGACAAAAGCTTAATTTATATTCAATCCATTACATTTCATATATAACATGATCAAGTTACTCTTCACTCCATTCATTGTAACAGGACGAGAGAAAATACTCTGCTGCAATGAATGTTTAGGATTTGGGAGAGAGAAAGTTCAAAGGGAAGGTTCTCCCATATTAGAGGGAAGTGAAAATGGATTGTTAACCTCTAAAAGTCTAAGTGTTTGGGGGATCCTTTTAGCCATTTGATTTGGAAATTTTAGGACCCCTTTAGGTATTCCCCAAAAATGTACATTTAATAATTATTGAATTGGCCTTCACTACTATGCCTATAAGAAACACCTTGAATAACACAGTCAAAAAAGTAATTATACGGAATAATGTTTTGATGCGTCTGTCCTCTAGGAGCCATAGAAAACCAAGGAAAATATTTTTGTTTTTCTGGACACCCCATTTTTACAAACTTCCTCCCTCTTTCCCGAGTGGCAGACCAGTCCTAGGTCACTGCATCGCGTGCTAGCTGTGCCACTAAGAACCGGGTCGAATCCATGGTCTCTGTCATAAGCCGGCCACTGACCGGAGAGACCCCAAAAAAATTTTTTTTAATAAAAAATAAAAAAAAATAATGTATGCACTCACTAACTGTATGTGCTCTGGATAGAGCGTCTGGCTAAATGACTTAAAGTGAAATTGGTATGGGTTACCTTTAGATGAGTCTCCGTGACACTTTTAAGTGGGTCAAATTACCTGTAAGTGGTCATATTAACCTTTTAGGCCAAACCGTTCTGACGCTACAGATGTTTTTGTGAAAAGATTTTTGTCTCCTGGTCTGACAAAAAGCGCTGTAGCTCGTCAACGCTTCCACCCCCCACCCCCCGCAGACGCGGGGGCTGACCTAGGCGGTGGATTGAGACGCAGGCCATAAACTGATGTCTCTAGCTTAACCATGTTTACAAGAAAAACATTTAAACATTTTTTTTTTTAGGGGGTAATAATTCTCTTAATATTGCAGATAGATTGTAACTCTTCCATCAAAATTTTAATTGTTCTGCATCACTTCCAATCCCCCATATGTTTTTTTTTCTCCGCCAATATAATATCATTTTTTAAAATATTATTATAAATACACCTATACATACATACACATAACATACATAATAATACCTATGCATACCTATAATATACACATATCCTTAAAAATATATATATTTCCCTTATATATACAACATACATACATACATACATACATACACACATACATCCCTACATTCCACATACATACATACATACACATACCTCATACATAATAACAAGAACATAGGACATGGTGAGAACACTTATTTGATACACTGCCGATTATGAAGGTTTTCCTACTTACAAAGCATGTATAGTTCTGTAAATTAGATCATAGGTACACTTCAACCTGTGAGGACGGACTCCTTAAAACAAAAATCCAGAAATCACATTGTATGATTGTTTTAAGTAATTAATTTGCATTTATTGCATGACATACGTATTTGATACATCAGAAAATGTCTACTCCTTTTTTTTTGTGAGACCGATGGATAAAATGTATTTATGTCATAGAGATAAACGATATCCCTTTCATAGGATCTCTGCTCTATGTGAGGTTGGCATGATTATCATAGGATCTCTGCTCTATGTGAGGTTGGCATGATTATCATAGGATCTCTGCTCTATGTGAGGTTGGCATGATCTGCATCCCTGGCTAGGTATTGATGTTGCAGTCTCTCTCTCTCTGTCTCTGACACACACACACACGCACGCACGCACGCACGCACGCACGCACGCACGCACGCACGCACGCACGCACACACGCACGCACACACACACACACACACACACACACACACACACACACACACACACACACACACACACACACACACACACACACACAATTGAGAGCATCCTGTCTGGCTGTATCACCGCCTGGTTCGGCAACTGCAGAGGGTGGTGCGGTTTGCCCAACGCATCACCGGGGGCAAACTACCAGCCCTCCAGGACACCTACAGCACCCGGATGTCACACGAAGGCCAAAAAGATCAAGGACAACAACCACCTGAGCCACTGCCTGATCACCCCGCTATCATCCAGAAGGCGAGGTCAGTACAGGTGCATCAAAGCTGGGACCGAGAGACTGAAAAACAGCTTCTATCTCAAGGCCATCAGACTGTTAAATAGCCATCACTAGCACATTAGAGGCTGCTGCTGCCTATTGAAATCACTGGCCACTTTTCACTTTAATAATGTTTACATATCTTGCATTACTCATCTCATATGTATATACTGTATTCTATACTATTCTACGGTATC